ATCTAAATATTCATGATCATACCATAAAAGGAAGAAAACCTGTCATTTCATTCTAGGGCTTTTAACCAGGCTACATTAGGGCTCATAGAACAGCTAATATGCCATTTTCAGCCCAACCAAAGTTACACACCCTATTCAGAGACCTGAAGGACCAGATACCCTATAGAATCATTCTATCACCCCTTTAAACCACATTTCCATTTTTCAGCACACATTAAAGTCCAAGATTACAGCTGCTGTGATTCACTGAGGTTCCGGTTTTCCTTTACAGAACAATCCTATGGATTTCACATCAGAAAATCACATGTACTACATGGAAATCACATATTATAGCACATGTATACGTGTAGAAATGGGATGTTTTATATTAAAAGATATGTCCCTCAAATGAGAATCATATGTGCTTGAAAATGTGGATTTTTTTAGCAAATTCTGGGCAGTTTTTCTGTGGCTCTCATTTTGATTACATACGTATCATATCGACCAAATAAAAAAAATATATATCATGACATGTTACAGCATCAGAAAACATTCCTGGACAGTATTTACTGCTATGCAGTGGTGGAAATAGTACAAAAAAATGAAAAATAAAAAAAACCGCTCAAGTAAAAGGAAAGTAACTTAGATAAACTATAACTAATTAAGTTACAGAACAATCCTCAAATAAAATTAATAATTATCTAAGCAAGATTTTATCTTATTTAACCATTTAAAGCCTGATCCAGGAATAAAACAAAACAGAAAATAACTTTTTTTGGGTTTGAAGTCCTTATTTGGCCTTTTAACAAAATATGTAAAAAGAAAAAACAGAAATACATTTTTGATATTAATAATTTATTACTGTGCGATAAGTCAAGATTATTTTTTGTGTAGTCTTCTACTGGCTGTTATCAGGTATATCTGATTGTGTACAATAAGATTTTGAGCAAAGTTTTTAGCATTAAATTATGCAAAAGGTGTCGGATGCAAAATATTTCAGAAACCATTTGTATCAAATATGATACATTTGGCATTACAGGGTTAAAATAAGACTTTATAAGAAAAAATGTAAGTCAAAATTTACATCAAGATATTTAACCTTTTTTCTTTATTTTGACAAAAAAGCATAATTAAAAGCAGTGTTACATATTTCCCTAAATTAACTGCTGGAAAACCTTCAAGGATCTTAATTAGTGATCATCTCCATAGAAACAATTATATTGATCAATTCTAAAACATATTTATAGGTGAAGAAAAAATTATTTTTGGTATATAAAACAAATTGAAACTGCATTTAGAGCATAAACCCATATGGAAAGTTGCGGCTTAGACAGAAGAGGCTTAGTTATTGTTTGTTAGCAGAAAATGATCCTTTTGGTCAATTGTTGACGTTTTTTATAAATAAAAAATTACATACAAATAACTTTCCGTCTTAATCAAGTACATGTTTAGAATATACTTAACATTTAAAATAGTTCAAGTGCAAATGATTGAGAAACTATTTAATTCTCTATTTTATTTTTTCAAATTATTTGAAAACAATAAGGTGATCATTTCAGCGGTTTTAAGAAAGGATCCCAGTTTTCATCTGCTAATTTTTTTTCCCAAAACAAATTTTAAAAAAATTACAGCTGAATTTATCTGTTTTTCTTGAGTTCTAATTCATATTTTATAGAAAACTGTAATTTTAAATTAAATTTCATCAAAAGTATATTGACCTAATAAGACATAGAATTTTAATTAAACCTAATTGAATAGAAATTTCACTTTATGCTGCTTTCTAGAAGTCGTATGGAAGCGGCTGTTCCAACCGTTGCAGTTCTAAATGGGAAAATAAATAATGAGTCTTATTTCTTATTTCAACCGTTGCGTATTTTAGCTGCGACATATGAATTAAAATGCTATGACCGAAAAAATTAGATTGACAGATGACCGTTGATAGATTATTGGCCGAATTTTTGTGTTCAGGCTGACATAGAACTAACTGGCCTAACGACAAGATTTATTTTTAAATAGAAATTTTCGAACTTTCAGGACAATATATTCTGATAAATAGTACAATTATGTACATGTTTAAGCCAGAATGATTTGACATTTAAATATGGCTTCCCTACGACTTTAATATATTTGAATACCGTGCCCTGTTTTTTATTTATAACTTACAATTGGCTTTAGAAGGATACTTCTAAACAAAGGTTGATAGACATCGAAAATAAAATCTTCTTAATAGAAAAGCTGCCCTGTAAGTTAAAACTAAAAATTAATTCACTTAATGAATGTAGGTCAAAATGGCTAATATACATCAAAGCTTTAAGCTGTAAAGCTGAATGTGTAGATGTCGCATGATGGTGTTCATTTAAGATTTGTAAGTAAGAATAAAAAAACAATAAAATGGGAATAACAAAAAAATAAGTAAATACTTAAAATCTAATTTAAAAAAATCTAAAAGAATCAGATAAACAATAAAATCAACATCCCACATTAGGACCCAACAGCAATGTGTTTAATCATTTGGAAGCCACAACGGAAAAATGAAGAGAAAAAGAAGAGGTCAGAGGAACGAACCCTGAGGAACCTCAATAATAAAGATGTGCAGATGAAAGAAAAAACTTTCATTAGTAAAACTAAAATCTAATTCTCTCTTAGGGCAGCAGGGTTTTATGGAAAGTGTAGCTGTTTGACTTCCTGCTCTTGACTACCTAATAGTTGCTTTAGTGAGCTCAACAATTACTGTATGAGATTCATTCTTAATGTTTTAAATTTTCCATCTAGAAACAGAAGTAAAAAATGTCATCCCCCAGCAAGTGAAACATCTTAACAGGAAACAGTGCTGCTGCAGAAAACTGTCACCGTCAGGATGGGACGTATCCACTAAACCCTCACATTCTTAATAGACCTCCAAGATCACACTGCAGTCTGAGTTTACTAGTGCTGCTGGTTTAATACCAATAGTTATTTACAGGAGAAAAAACATATTGGATGTAAACAACCTCTAAGTTAGATCCAGATTTGTAAATCAAAATTTCCTGAAAGTTTCCCAATTGTAACAAAAGAAGGTTTCGGTCCATGCTGCTTTTCTCTGCAGCCAAAGGAAGTGTTTCATTCATTCAGCAGAAATAACTGGACAAGGGGAAATATGCAGCGCTGTGGTCCTCTGCGCTGGTTACTTTAGAGCTGAGATGATAAAGTGACAGAAGTGGGTCTGAGGTGGTTTACCTGCTGTTGTCCTGATGTTTGGATGCAGAAATCCAGCGACACGAGGAGAAAGAGCAACATGGCTCAAAGTCTCAGGTCCAGAGAGGAAAAATAAAGCTTCAGTATCTTCAGTAGTTAAGATCTAACTAAACAGCTAACTTTTAAATGCAACCTTCAAGGCTTAGTTCAGGAAAAAACACAAAGATAGGAACATCCTCTGTTCAGGAACACAATGGCCATTCCAGGAGGACAAACTGTCAACTGAGAGCTGCCTCCTTCTCATCCGTACATAAACGGGCAGAAAAAATCTACAAGTTCTTATGATAACAAACAACAGGGTGGATCCAGGCGTCGACGGTGTTATCAGCAGAATTCCTCGCACTCTTTGAGCCTGATGTGAGAGGAAGTAACCGAGAAATTACAGCAACAAGTTGCCCCTGAGCCCAGCGTCCAGCAGCCAAGGCTGGGAGCGACTGCTGCTGTCCTTTTCCTCTCATCTGGGGAGGAAAACACAACAGAAACTGGCAAAGACAGGAACCTCCCAGCAGAGGTCATCTCCTCCCACTTCATCCCCAGTGGTGCCAGCAGAGGTACTGGTGAAATGTTGCTCCATGGCTGGAGCGGTCGGGCTGGTTCTATAGAGCTAAACATGGCAGAAAACCCATCCAACATTTCTGAGGTTAATAAGAACGCAGAAACTCCCTGCCCTCTTTATCAGACACCTCTTGCTTTTTCATGTTTTCCACCTATGAGCAGAGATGTTAGAAGATGCCAGAGACTATCTGCAGAGATCAGGGTCTATTTTTAAATGAGAGAATCTCACAGAGGCTGCAGATTTCATTGCACATCCCTGATAAGAACCTCCTGTTCCTCCACATCTCAGCCAGACTGAGATCTGATGCCTGTGAAGATCATCTGAGATCCTGGAACTCACACGTTCCAGAAACCAGTTTGAGATGAACTTGTAATTTGATGCATTATCCTGCAGGAGGCGCCATCAGAAGATGGATTTGGGTTTGAGGGGAAGGAGATGCTCTGCACTGCTACTGAGAGGTCGATAGGTCCATCCAACTGTTTCCCAATCAGTTATTGTCTAATATTGTCAGGGTCCTGCCCTCTGTTCTGTGTATTTGTAGTTGATTTCTACCAGTTCTGAGTTCTCTACTCTCTGTTGCCCCTTTGTGTTTGTTTCTTTCCCTTTGGCTTCCTCCTAATTGGTCTTGCCCAACCCTGCTCCCACTCTGTTGATTAGCCTGTCTTGGTTTAGTCTCCCAGGCTGCTCAGTGGGGCAGTGTGTAGCACTTCTGCCTTGCAGCAAGAAGGTTCCGGGTTTGAATCCCGGCCTGTGGTCTTTCTGCACTGAGTCTGCATGTTCACGTTTTTCATACGTGGGCTCTCCGGGTACTCCGGCTTCCTCCCACAGTCCAAAAACATGACTGTTAGGTTAACTGGCTTCTCTAAATTCTCCTTAGGTGTGAGTGTGAATGGTTGTTTGTCTCCGTTTCCCTACGATGGACTGGCGACCTGTCAAGGGTGTACCCTGCCTCTCACTCCTAAATAGCTGGAGATACCAGCACCGCATCCCAGCGACCGCGCTTGGGATATGCGTGATGGAAAAATGTTAGAAATATTGCAGCAGCGACTGTGGCTGACTGCCTTCGTCCAGGGCCTGCTTTAGCAATATTAGGTTCTAAACAAAAGTAAAGATCCCGCCAGAAAACTAGTTAGTCATGCAAACTATGGTAGCAACAGAAAAAGATAGACCACCACCATATAATCCTTCAACCCCCCAGGCAGATTCCAGATCTAGATCCAGACTTGGATGAATTGAGTAAATAAGATCTTCCATTATCTACAGACCAGCCGAAAGGAGTTATATATGCTGCAGCAGATCGCAAATCCTGATGTAGGAAATCAGCAGCCTCCAATCACAGTTTCCAGTCTATGGTGGTTAGAGGAATTTAGAAAAACTGTGGCAGACACAGCCTGAAGTTTTCTGCAGGAGGGCGGATTATTACGGAGCCCCTAAAGGAACATGGAGGGGGAAAAAAGAACTTTTGCAAAAGTATTGCGAGATTTTGAAAAACTATTGCGGGATCTCGCAAAAGTTAATTTTTTCCCTCCATGTCACTTTAGGGGCTCCATAGATTTTAGACATTTAGGGTCCATAAAATAAAAAACACAGGAGAATATTGTCCAATCACCTTTTTTTTTTTTATTACACAATCTCCGTAAGGTATTTAGAATACTGAAAGCAGTTTTTTTATTTTTGAAATATCATGTGTCCAATGCAGTGGAAATCGGAACGCCATACATTTGAAATTGAACATCGATGGCAACCGACCTCAATGGCAACCAGTTTGTCCCAAAGAAAATATACAAACATCAACATATCAATGAATTTCACACTGACCGAACTTTCCATCATCACATTTGTTTTTCTCTCCTGTGCTTACTTGCTATGATACTTCAAAAAGGAATTCCCTTTCTTGGAAACACACAGGAACACTTTGCACTCTGTGCACATCACATATGTTTTGCTTGTGCAGCCAGTTCTGCACCAACTTGAGGCATGTGTTTCATCTACCATCTCTGGAAGATGGATGGCCCCGTAGTGTCTCAGAGCTGCATTTGGCTGTGGCTTCCATGGCTTCCTCCTTGACGTGGAGGAGTGTAGCCATCTTCACTGTCACTTCCGATTCCTGCTTGGGCCTGAGTAATTAACTCTTCACCAAGGAGCAGTTTGAAGTTAAGCAACTTCAGTGGTTTCTTTACCAGAAACTGGCAGTCACTCTTATACTGAAGCCATGAGTTGGTGATTGCCAGGTCAAAAAAGTGGAAAATTACATCACTCTCCATTTCAGAGTGCAAGAAGCCATCCTGTAGAAACTCAACATTCGGTCAACCAAGTCCACGCCAACCCATGTTGGTGTTGTACTCAGCAATTGCCAGTGTCCTTGACACCTGGACAAATCTTTTCTCTTTCTTGGACCATCGTCTGCGTGTGTCCCGAAGTTCAATGCCATAGGCAGAGGATGCCATGACAACTGGCTTTGTGTCCAACCATTTTATGATAGCAACTTCAGGAAGGCCTCGTCTGACAACCATCCCTGATTCACCTCTTCCCCTCTTTTTGAAGGTCTTATCCTCCATGATCTTACAGTCCTTTGGAACTCTGTTTCTTATAATTGTGGTTCGAAGACAATCAGATACCATCGTAGTTCCGACCATAAACAATGCCAACTAGCGATCCGGCGGCATTATTCCCATGACCCGCCGGGCAGCATCCAGGAAACCAAAGTCTTTGGGTTCGGGGGGAGTACGAGTTTATGATAATCCATCCAATGTTACTGCTACAAACAAAGAAAAAACTAGAATGCCATATGTGTTATAATGGCACAATTTTCTCTAGCACTCTGTGGCTCCCCTTGGAACAAATAAGTGTAGAGAGGATGGACAGAAAAAAAGGAAGGAAAAAGAAAAGACTGTGATGTTTCACAGAGATGAGGATAATGAGACAGGACAAAGGGGATGTAGGGAAGAGGCTAGAAGGCAACGGGACGAAGAAGAAGAAGGCGCTGTAGGTGGGGAAGAAGTACCAAAGGAAGAAAAACAAAAACCTCTCTTTTCAAAGAGATATGCGATTCAGATGATAAGGGAGGATGTGTTTGTGGAAAGCAAGAGGGAGCAGAGTGCTAGAAGCAATTTTTGATGGACATGCAATGTAGAATAGAAGGTGTAAAGAAAGTAATTAGAAAGAGTAGATGGAAAGTTTTTTGTACCAAAGATATGATGAGGCTTTGAAATGATTAAATGGGCTTAAATAACTCTGGTAACCCCCCATTTATAATTTTTGGTGACGCTGGAGGATGTTGATGCAACTTGTCTAGAGATTGATGGTGTACCATAAATAAAAATGTTGATCGTATAAACTATATACATTACAATGTCCAGAAGTTAGGAAACTGGACCCAAAGTGGTTTTAAAGTTGTACATGGACAACTGGCTGCGACTTTACTCATGGCTTTCCAAAATAGAATAGTTTTAGACATGTTGTTAGCAGAAAAATAGCGGAGTCTGTGCTATATTCGGCGAGCAATGCTGCACTTTTATCCTTAATAATACAGCTTCTGACAGCAGCCTGACCATAGCCCTGGAGGGCCTCAGGTCATTGAACGGTAAAATGAAAGAGCATTCTGGCGTGGACACATCTATGCCGAACTCATGGTTGGACACGTTTGGCAAATATCGGTCCTTGGTGTCCTCAGTCTTAGTGTCCATAGCCGTGTTTGCCGCCAATTCTTATTCCCTGTATTCGCATCCTCATTCAGAGGCTTATTTTCACAGCTATTTCTTTTCCGCAGCAGCAATCTCAGATGTATTCGCTCCTAGCCCACACAGACTCTGCAGATGAAGATGATGACAATCAGAATGTGGCAACATTGTTTGCTCTCCATGAGTGATTTCACAGTCCCTCTGAGTGTAAGTGTTAATGTTTGTGAGCTGATGGTTGAAAATCATCTTTGAAGTGACTATCTGGTGAAGTTTGATAATGTTTTTCTATATTCACATTATACACCATAAACAGGAGGGAAATGTTAGAAATATTTCACTTATACTCTTACTCCGTTTGGATGGGTTGTGTAACAATGAACTATCATGATGTATAATGTGTGACATATTACTGTTCCAGAGAGGTGTTGCACAAGCAGTATAGGTCAACTCTCGGGAAGTGTTGCTCAAGCTTAATGAAACCAGCCGTTCTCGGACCATTTGACCACAAGACATTTAAATGCAAATTGACCTGTTCTCTGAGGCTGCAAATTGAATTGTCTATCTTGTTTCCCTTTTCTTTAGTGCAACCTCAGTTTGTGTAACTAGGGACTCCCCTGACTTTAATAAATATCGAGGAGAAAGGTGAAGACCAGCAGTGGGTTGGAGATTGTAACTGCACAGTCTCTTCCTACTCTCCTCACGAGTAAAAAAAAGAATTCTGACTCTGTGCCTTTCTTTCCTTGTTTTACGGTGTTTTAGGTGTTAGACCTGACAAAAAATAATGGAGGGATGGTTCTGTCTCCCAATATAAACTCCACCTCTGCAGTCACTCAGTGCTGGTTTGGTTAATCTCTGCCTCCCCACGTGAGTTTTCCCTGAAGTATCCCAGTTTTTTTAGTTTTCCTCTGTTGCCTTTGAATTCTAATTTAATCTGCAAGACTCACCTCTGCCTCCTGATCTCTGTATTTGGGTCCTCAAAAACCTGCACTCAACCGTGACAGATATGCCTGTGTGAATTCTTCACTTCTTCTACATGAGTTTTCATGGATGCTGTTCTCTCAGAGTTGACTTGATTTTCTACAGCCTTTCTGTCTCCTCTGACCTCAGGCAGGCCTTTCCATCAACAACACTGGTTATTTCCTCTTTTCCAGAATATAATAACGACATTAACCAGCAGTGCCAGCTGTGCCTGAAAATCCCAGCCCATC